GGGGCTTCGCTCGAGGTGGGGGGGCGGGGGGGGCGTTCGGGTGCCCCGGAAGGTCGCAGGTGTCGAACTAATAATTTTGGTTGGGTTTCATCCAACAAAAGGTTTCCCCTTGCATCGCTGTTACTTAGTGATGTCGCCGGCACGCTAAGCAACGACTGCAAGTGAAAAATGACGGGAACAGCCCCTCACATCTTTGCCCACGACAGACGAAGGTGTTAATGCCCGCCCGTGGGCAGTGGGAGTCGGTTATGAACCAGGCCAGACTTTTTCCCCCCAAAAGAAGGATCACGTCACCTTTATGTTTGAGAGGCTGAGGCACATTCCCCTAGTTTATGCCAGAATTGCAAAGCCCAGTGGATAAAATTGGCACGCTGCCCCGCAGCAGCAAGCGAGCATTTAGTGACAGGGTAACGTTTGTGGGTCTGTGATCACCTTCGTGCTCACCCCTTCGCAGCACTGCAGGAACAGCTAAGGAGATTACGGGGCATTTTATTTTTCCCTCTGCTTCCTATCAAAGGGCGGACCCAAGCTTCCCTTTTCTTCCTGCTGCTTTATCACCTCCTCTGCAGAGGGTAACAAACTCACTGGAAGGAGGGAAAAACCAATTCTGTATTTCATTGTGAGCTGCGATCTGGACTATGAATTCAGAACTAAGAACTTTTTACAAACCGTGTTGAATGACTGTTGTTATCAGTAGGAGGTTGGCGATAAAGGGGAGGAAATTGTCTTTTGATAGTAAATAAAAGTTTCATAATCATTTATTTCTGTCACATTTATTTTTAGTAAATTCCTGTTTGGTTTTCCAAGTGCTACCTTAGCTCATCGCTATTTGTGTCCTCATTTTTATTCTGCTTTTCTTTGCTTATTTCTTTCATAGTGACTTTCTTTACCCGTGGCAGCTCCCAGCCAATGAACCTCACTTGTATTTTTTGCCCGATCCTTGCGCTAAAACAACCAGCGATTAAGTCATTGAGGTTGGTAGTGAAATGTAAGTTCTTGCTCTACTTGGGTTTAGGCTATTGCCACTGTAGCTTTAAAGGGCAGAAACATCTTTTCCTTGCTGGAAACTGGAATTCCAGACCATCAGAGTGTGTGCCATGGATCATGGGGGAATTAGGGGGGGTCCCACGGTGCCTGGCTCTGGCATAGTTCCCAAGGGAGCCATGCAGATGGCAGGTGCTGAAGTGCAGAAGCCATGCGGGCTCACAGACCAGATGGCAAATGCTTGTTTGCTGGATGTTTTCAAGCACATTCACAGCTAGAAGCAGAGCTAAAAAGAAAAGGGAAGTGAGTACATTACAGAATCCCTGAATGGTTGCGGTTGGAAGGCACTTCTGGAGGTCATCTGGTCCAGCACCCCTACTCAAGCGGGGCCACCCAGAGCTGGTTGCCCAGGACTGTGTCCACATAGATAGCTTTTGAATATCTCCAAGGACTCTACAGCTTCTCTGGGCAACCTGTACTAGTAGTTGGTCACCCTCATAGTGAAAAAGTATTTTTCCTTATGTTCATAGAGAACCTACTGTGTCCAGTCAGTGCCCATTGCCTCCTGTCACTTGGGCACCACTGAAAAGAGCCTGGCTCCATCTTTGTACACTCCCTTCATTGATAAGCTTCCCCCTGTCAATTCTCTAAGCCTTTCTTCATATGAGACATGCTACAGCCCCTTAATCATCTTAGTGGCCTTTCACTGGACTCTATGCAGTGGTGACACAGCACTCCAGCTGTGGCCAAGGAGAGGGGAAGGATCACTTCCCACAGACTGCTGGCAACATTCCACCTAATGCAGTCCAGGATGCTATTAGCCTTATTTGCTGCAATTTGCTCATCACCAGGATCCCCAGGTCCCTTCTGCAAAGCTGCTTTCCAGCTGGTCAGCCCCCAGCATGTACTGGTGTGTGGGGTTGTTCCTCCCCAGCTGTAGGACTTGCACTTCCCCTTGCTGAACTTTGTGAGGTTCCTGTCAGCCCAGTTCTCCAGCCTGGCAAGGTCCCTCTGGGTGACAGCACGACCCTCTGGAGTACCAGCCACCCCTCCCAGTTGTGTGTCAGCTGCAGACTTGCAGAGGGTACGCTCTGCCCCACCATCCAGATCATTAATGAAGTTGTTGAGCAGGACTGAACCCAATATTGGCCCCTGGGGTACACCACTAGTTGCAGGCCTCCAACTAGATTTTGTGCTACTGATCACCACTCTCTGGGTCTGGTCGTTCAGCCAGTTTTCAGTCCACCTCACTGTCTGCTCATCCAGCCCATACTTGGTCAGCTCCATGAGGATCTTATGGGAGACAATGTCCATTGCTCTGCCAAGCCAGTAGTTTCACCATAAAAGTTTATCAGGTTAGTCAACCGTGACTTCCCCTTGGTGAATCCATACCAACTACTCCTGATGACTTTCTTGTTCTTCATGTGTCTGGAAATGGTGTCCAGGATTAGCTGCTCCATCACCTTCTCAAGGATCAAGGTGAGGCTGACTGGCTTGTAGGTTCTGGTATCCTCCATCCTGCCTTTCTTGAAGTTAGGAGTGGTGTTTGCTTTCTCCAGTCCTTGGGCACTTCTCCCTGTCACCATGGTCATTCAAAGATGATCGAGCGTGGCCTTGCAATGGCACCTGCAGCTCCCTCAGCACTTGTGGGTTCATCCCATCAGAACCCATGGACTTACATATGTCCAGTTTGCTTAATCATAGAATCATAGAATGGTTTGAGTTGGAAGGGACCTTAAATATCATCTACTTCCAACGCCCTTGCCATGGGCAGGATTAGATAGCTCAAAGCCTCATCTAACCTGGCCTTGAACACTTCTAGGGCGGGGCCATCCACAACTTAAATATTCCCTGACCTGATCCTCCTCCACCAGGGCTACATCTTTTCTCTAGAGTTTCACCTTGGTCTCTGGAGCCTGGGGTTCCTGAAGGGCTGTTACACCAACATTTAATACAGTATTTTAGAATATGGGGGCCAGGCCTTTGGGAGGAGGAATAGGTTGCTGCCTGAGAAGCAATATTTGATCATTTTGTGTTATAAATACATTGTCCATGTTTGCACCCATAAACTACAAATTTGACAGGGACAGACCATGGTTTTATCTGCTGTTGTTAGTTCACTGTAAGAAGAATGAGCTACTTGAAGGTCAAAATATGTGCCTGGGACACAAAGAAATCCCACACTCCATTCACTGACCAGCTGCCTTCTGCCTGCCTGACTCCAGGAAGGAGGTTTAGAGTATACCTACATGATACCAAGCTGCTTAGATCTCCAGAGATCCACAACTAGAGCCATATTGCTATGTTAGCACAGCTCTGTACATAGGTTAATTGACCCTGTTGAGAGACCAAATTGATTAACCGGGCTGATTTTAAGATCCAAACCAGTATTTTTGCTGTACCAGCTTGTCTGAAGATAGCTCAGGGATTTCTAATACAGCACTGCATTGTGTGGCTGACAAACCTGCCCTTAGCTTGTCCCATGTTTCAGTTCCCCATATATGCCATATAGACAGTTTTCTTTAATTGGCAGGAATTTTGTGAGTCTAATTAGTGAACATGAAATGACAAGAAAGAGTCAAAGAATACACCGAGATACTAAGAACAGTTTTCCTTTACAGAACTTTATCAGCTATCTTGTTGCTAGAAATACTTTACATTTTTACTTTTGAAGTATAGCAAAAATATGCGGCAGCTAGTATTTAATTATTTTCCTTCTTCATGCACCTGTGAACTTGGAATAGCCCTCTCTGAACATTCAGAATCTTACCCATCAAAGCATAGCTCTGGGGATGCGATTAGTAAAGTAATTAGTTTTTCATAATTCCGTGTACTTTGAAGCTGGGAACTGTGATTCTGACTTGCTCCTAGGCTCTGCTATGTGCTGTGTTTCTAGGAAGCAACTTCTGTACTTCCCAAACCCCAGGTTTTATTTTAATTAGCAAGTATATATCTCTGTCAGTGATGGCTGCAAAGCAAGTTTAAAAGTGTAAAATGAGTGAGATTGATGCAGAGTTGATTTTACAAGGGTCCTAGAGCAAGAGAGTTATAAATGCATCAGTCATCACGGCTACTTCACATGTCCTGTTTTTGTCCTTTGAAGTATGAATTTTATTAACTGTTTCACTCTGTGTTGGAAAGGCAAGAAGAAAACTGCAACCCTGTAGCTTACTCTGACCTAGTCTACACTAGAATGCTTTGCTGATAGAACTACCCTAGGCAGGTGAACAAGAAATATCCCACCTGTTAACTAGTGCTGCACTTCATCATACATCTGTTCAGGGATGCTCTTTTCCATCCCACAGACAGAATGTGAGCAGAACTTTTTGGACCTTGATATTTTGTTTGAACTTTCCAGATTTGTTGCAACTTTCCAAGTATGTTGCAGGTGGGTGGAACAGTGGCTTGGACTTGGCACAGGCAAATATGTATGCCAGGGTGGGACGGAGCAGGGTGACTGGAAAGTGCTAGATCTGAGACTATCCTGAGTCCTGTGTGATAGATACAAGCAAAGGGAGCAGGATAAGATCATAGTTATTTAATCAATTTTGTTTTTAAAGCTGTGAGCAGAACAATGACCCAAAAAAGCGCAGTAGCTTCCATCGCTGCAATTAAATGATCACTTATACAATTACAATGCACAGAGATAAAATCAATCCAAACCTTTCCCACTAATACTCTGCCTCTGAGCTCCAGAGTATTTTTTACACACATGAAAGAGAAGGCTCGTAAGAGGCCATACATGCAGTCTAACATGAAGTCTGGAACAAGTGCTTTGTTGGGACAGTATAATAGTGTAAGAGATGCTTAGTCTGGTTAAACTGCACTTTGGCCTGCAGAGGCTTTTTCCAGTGTCCCAGGATTCTGTGTGATGCTGCCTTTCCCTGTGAGGTGGCAGTAACCACATCTTCCTTACGAGATTTGGCTGGCATAACAGCCAGCCTGAGGTGGTACCACCGAACGCTCTTCATTGACAGCTCTGCTGGCAGAGGAAGGCCTGTTAATTTTCATACCTGAAATGTGACCCCCTCGGCATGTTACTTCTCATGGAAGAGAGGACTGTTTCCCCTTTCACATGTAGCATTTCAGCCTCTCTCCCACTCTTTTACCTGCCGAGCCAGTGGCAGGTAACAGGCATGTCCTTTTACCTGTTGACTGTGGCAAATTTGCTCAGGAATTGGGGGGCAAGGAAAGACAAGGTGCTAAAGCCAAAAGATGAGGTCCTCCACTTGGTCCTGCCCTTATGTGTACTCACTCTCCAGCCTGTTTTCTGTAGCCCCTTTCTAGGTGAAATCCAGTGTGCATGACCCATCTTGTCTCACGTGACTCGACATACCAGAAACGTTGTCCCCTGCTTTGTGAAAGCTGTCTGAGAAAGAGAGTGACAGGTATGCAAAGAGCTGGAACAAGGGCCAGGTGGGATGCCCAGAGAAGCCTTGTTGGAAGATGGCCAACAGTCTAGCACCAAGGAGGTGCCACTAAGCAAGCTCTCATAAGCTATCATGGGGGCAAGGAGGCTAGCACTCAGCTGGGTCTTGATTTAGAATAACTCCCACCAACTTGTGTCTTCCAGAGAACATCCTCTTCTTAATGAAGGAGTCTTTCTTCCTACAAAAAAGGTTCTGAGATGATGACATCATTAGAGTTTCACTTTGACTAATGGCTCTTATTTTTGGTTCTTTTGCAAAGACAGGAGATACCTGATCTATCCAAACACAGTCTCTATTGAAGAAAAAGTAGTATGTCCAGCATGACCTCATAATAGAAAAACTTCATGTCATTTAGCTCATTTAGTTCTTGTTTGCCCAAATGCCTACATCTCTTAAGTGCTTAAGAAGGCATACTGCCAGGAGCTGAATTTTTCATTAGATCAGAAAATTTCTCTTATAGCTTTGTTATTACGTATGTTATTATAATATACAGGTCTGGTCCTAAAAAAATATTGAAAAAACAGCCATGCCCTATAAATATAATTGTTGACAATTTGGCTAAGTTCCAAAACAAATAGGTCACAATGTTTTATTTTGACCACTCATAATTTTGAATTATGCATTCAGATACAAAGCAAAACTGCAAAGCCATGTTTCAATTCTATTATAGCAACCACGGACCCAAGTGCGTACACCTTGGATACCTGTACTTTATTTTGAAGCCACTCATGCACCAGAAATACAGCCTATCAATCAATGAAAAAAAAACCAACATGAGAAACCAGACAAATAGTAGCACTGTGGTGTTTGCATTCATTGTAGCACATTGGTATTCCACCCATTAATTTTAGAAGTCTCTTATCATTTTATTGTATTATAATTGTTGTGCTTTTCTCTGTAGGATCACACTTTTCTCTGTAGGATCACACTTTGCCCCCTCTCCAATATCCGGTAAATATTCTATTTCTAAGTGGTCATGATTTTGCAAGAGGAACAAAGGCTAACAACAGCCATTTGATCTGGAATTGCTCATCGTTTCTTTTACTACTTGTACCTGGCACTCCAATGGAAGAAGAAAAACTGTTTTTGAGAGTATTATTTTTTCTATGGTGATGGCTCTTCAAAAACATATTTACTAGACTTCAGTAAAATACCGTGAGTTTTTAGAAACTAAAACATGACAGACTAGCTTCTTTTATTTTATTATTTTCACCTGCTGGAGCCAGTTATATTCTCTCCACCAGAGAGCGCAAGTATCACCAGAGGGGATGGTGCTGGGATGGAGAGATTGCTGTACTTGGAAGCAATATTGTGAGCTGTCTTCCTCAAGGATGACACTCTAGACATGACGGGCAATTCCAGCTACATGAAGTTTTTTGCCTGTGGCTTAATTTAGGCTGAGAGTTAACATTGCGTCAAAATGGTTAAGGCTTCCCATGTTCAAGGAACTACTGGAGAGATTCCTGCCTCTGCTTCTGAATCTTGGGCTCCAGCCCAGGAGATGCTGACTTCCCAGAGACGTGTGCTTCTCCCACACAATACAAACACTCATATGCTCCTCAGACACATGCTTGAGGACACTAAGACCAACTGGCTTTGGGACTGTTGGGCATCAGAAAGAAGAAAGGACTTGGTGAGTAGTAAAAGAGATCTTAAAGTTTTAGACTGAGAACAAAGCCATTTCAAGCAGTGTTGTAGGAAATCAATAGCAAGAGTATGAAATAAAAGGCTCTTGAAAAATCTCAGAACCCACGACTTCATCTAGAAGATCAGTGAATATGCTCCAACTCAGCTAGATGGCTAAGAAAACCCAAGGGCATGTACCAGGTTTGTGGTGCATGTTTTCCCGGAGCACACCCCCATGGGTACTGCCCTAAGGCTAAA